TGCTTGGAAGGTTGCTCTGGAGGTCATCTGGTCTGACCCCTCTTACACCAGCAGGAAAACTGCCAACACCAGATGAGGTCAGCTACAGCTTTGTCCAGTCAACACTGAGGCCTCAGAAGTTTTTCAAGAATCCTCCAAGAATGGAGACTCCGCAACCTCTCCAACTCCCACTGCTACACTGACTTAGTACCAGGTTTTCCTGATTTGAATTTCTCTTATCTGCCTTTAAAATGCTTGACTCCTCTCATCATCAGCAGATGAGATTTAAATAGCCCTTTACTAGCCTCTTTCAAGCCAGCCAATGTCAGAAGCCACGTTCCACCAATTCTACTGTGTTTCTCACAGTTTTTACTCCACCAAATTAGTGACAGCATTAGTCAGGTGAAGATGTGGAAGGGAGGACCACACAAGCATGTGTAGGCAATGTACCCAGATCAGGAACCCCAAACTGGTTTGGTGTTTCCATTTTACCCTCACCTCTATCATTCCAGGCCTTCCTTCCTGATGCTAAACACCACAGATAAAATACAGGTAGACTAAAGCAATCTGCTCAATTCTATGCCGCAGGTTCTTAAGTTAAGTAACAATTATCCATTTTCCCCCAGGACCACATCTGGCTCCATCACAGATGATTAGGTGCTCACTTGGTCTACGCAATGTACACTAAGCAATTGTGTTGAAAAGTGTCTACAAGTGTCTCAGCCAAATGATTTGTAAACAGTCTGTAAGTGGTATTGTGAGCCCAACTCAGCTTTCATGTCCATGTGAGCATTTAAGCCAAACTGACAGCAGTATTTGGGTACCAGAGACCCTGAACATCAATTTTCATCTTCAGAGCTTCTGTGGATCTGGTCCTCTTCAAACATTCAGCTGGTCTCTTAGTGTGATTAACCACGAGCAGAAATCTGCAGTCTGAGTCTAAAGTTCACTGCCTAAGAAACTCTGTGCTATTATCTTTTAAAAAGTCACCAGCTCCTAAGTGTGTTCAAGAGTCAAGAAGAAATAAACAATGTAGTTTGACACTCCTCCTGCTTATGCAGTTCCAACTGTTTCTAATTCCCATCGTGAAACCAACATCAAAGTTCAAATTCAAGAACTGGAAGAGTGCAGCTACAACTGCAGCATATTTGAGCAGTTAAAACTTCCTGGTAACATTTGCACTGTTATTTAACCATGAGGTTTAAATCCACCCCTACAGAAAACAAAGGCTTTGAGGTCCAGCAGACACAGTCCTGAAATTAGCAGGTTTCTACAGCAGGAGCAGCCATAGCCTCCCCATTCCAACTATCAAACCACTATAACATTTTACAGCCAGCTACTGCTGTCTTGATGAGATTTCTTAATATTATACCAGGGGAAAAGAATGCTGCCTGAACTTTACTCTTCATAAACATCATTAGAATCAATTCAGCAATTTCCACACACTGGCACTAACAAGAGGTGATGGTTAGTTGTGTGCTACAAGATACACATTTAGGGTTTCCCCACCAGACCACAGGAAACAACGTACTTTCAAAGCCTTTATAGCTATTTCTAGAGCTATGCTAATACTTCCTGTGTTAAATACGTGTTTGGTGATTTTCTTCTTTTTGGGCTGCTCAAAAAATAAATTTAAAACATCAAGTTCTAATACCCTGTCTTAGCTGTATGCTGCTCATTAGCCAGTCACGCTGTATGAACCACACGAGGCCTAGAAATTTGGGACCAGCCATCTTTTCTACACAGTAATCATCCTGAAAGAAAGTCCTTAAGTATGATGGCAAAGAAAAACATGCTAAACTCAGTGGAGCAAAACCTGCATTCCTTTCAGCTGAGGCACACCTGTATGAGCTTGACAGGTGTGTTGCCTTGCACAGCTGTGCATCTGCTACACTGAGAGCACATCAACTGCATATAGATTAACCACACTCAACCCAAATCTTTCTTTCCAAGAAGCAGCTGCAATCTTAAGACATTTTGTTTATATTCACCTGAGTCTGAATCACGTTTGTGCCCTTCAAAACAAACATGGCACTCCAGAATAACACATAGCAAAAAATATTATTACAGCCGTGATTATTAAATGGGAGCACTCAGCGCATTTTAATGAAAGAGTTATATCCAAATATTAGTAAATATTTTAAAAATAATTAGAAGTTGATTAGCCCTTAAAAAACAAAACTGCAGCAACAGCAGCCACCTGCGCAGATGCTCAGCACAGCGGTTAAGTGGCTCATCAAAAAGCGCACCCATCCCCAAGAAACTGATTATATCACTTTCTATTCTAGTCCTGCCGACGCCAGCACTGAGGATCACCTGAACCCCGACACCTCGCTCAGAGGGACGCACAGGAGCGAGACGCGTCTCTGCGGGCATCTCCCGGATCCATGGATGGGCACCGCCCGCCGCGCGGCCCCGCGCCCCCTCCCCCGGCCCGGCCTTACACGGCTTCTTGGCATCCTTGATCTTCATGGCGCTGCGGCGGCGGCCCGGCTCGCTGCCGGCCGGGGCGGGTCTCCTGCCGCTCGCCTGATGGGGCGGGCAGCGGCGGCGGAGCCGCAGTCCGGCCGCGCCTACAGCTCCCGGCGGGCCCCGCGCCCTCACCCCACGGCCCGCCGCCAATCGCCGCGCCCGGGCCGCGGGGCACGGGCACTGACAGGGGCACGGGCACTGACAGGGACACGGGCCCCGGCCCCGGCCCCGCGCCGCTGTGACAGCCTCAGTTGCAGCCGGTGTCGGGCCCCGGGGTTCGCGCTCTGCGGGGCTGCGAGAGCCACGCGATTGCTGTAAAACAAAACGGGCACTTGGCGTTTGTTTTCATTTCCCCTCGCTCGGACTGAAGTGATCTCTCAATTAAGCACCGGAGCAGTTTGGGAAATGGCTTCTTTCCAGTGCCTGGACTCCAGTGACGGCACCAGTGACTTTATTTGCCTGGATTTAAACTCTTCCTCACCTGGTGCAAGAGGCTGATGTTTACTCACACAATCAGTTGGAAAACACCTCAGATCATTGAGCCCAGCCTAGCACAGGACACCGTTTTACCTAGACCAGAGCACCGAGAGCCACATCCAGTCTTCCCTTAAACACCGCCAGGGACGGTGACTCCACCGCCTCCTTGGACAGCCCATTCCAATATCTAATGACCCTTTCTGTGAAGAAATTCCTCGTGATATCCAACCTCCCCTCATGGAATTTGAGGCCGTTCCCTCTCCTCTGTCCCTGTTCCCTGGAGCACTGCCTGACCCCCCGGCTGTCCCCTCCTGTCAGGAGCTCTGCAGAGCCACAAGGTCCCCCTGAGCCTCCTTTCCTCCAGGCTGAGCCCCTTCCCAGCTCCCTCAGCCTCTCCTGCTGCTCCAGACCCATCCCCAGCTCCACTCCCTTCTCTAAACTCGCTCCAGCCCCTCAATGTCCTTCCTGAGCCGAGGCACAGGGGGACAATCACTGCCCTGCTCCTGTAGGCCACACTATTCCTGGCACAGGCCAGGATGGCGCTGCGCTGGCAGGATGTGGTGAGGTCTCCCACCGACTGCTCACAACCCTGGGCTTTCCAACAAGAATTCATCATGGGTTTTTCCACTTTTCTCCCCTCTCCTTTGTGAGGAAGTGCTATGTAATTATAGATCAGTTACTGTGACCTAGGATGAACCTAAAAGCTCTGGTCTGGGAAGAGGATTTGAGTATAATCTTTGTGTTGGAAGCTGAAGTTTCTTTGTGTCTGGAGTTTAGCTTTGGCAAAAGTCTCTTTTGAAATAACTGTTCACAAACCAAGGAAAGACTGAATGCTTCCTGGGCACGAGGTTTACTCACAAACCTGTTGTGTAAGGACAGGAGCCTTGTCTTTTCACCCTCCATTCCCCCACTGATCCTAAACATGTAAAACCTGTAATATATTTATTGTTCATTTTAATTCAGAATCTTACATTAAAAATACAAAATTCTCATGTGAATGCCCTTTCCCATTTATCATGTTTCCTTTCTGAAATATCTGAATTTGGAAAACTTACTCTGAAGTCTTCTAAGTGTTCTTTTTCCATCTTTTAAAGGAAATTCTCAGTGTATTAGCAAGCCTGCAGAACTTCTCTCTTTCTGCAAGCTATGTGTAATTGTGGAAATTCCCGTGTGTTACTCTTAAAGTGAGGAAATTTTGGTGTGGTTTTGTGGTTTTTCACTGCAGTGTAGTTTACTATTGAAACATTAAACACAAGCATTTACATACATGTTAGGGAAAACAAGAATTTAGCTGCCTGGAAGTTAACTTGCTCATAAATATACATAATGACTGAAAAAGAGTCTTTAATTTCCTGCCTGTCACCAGACTGTGCAGTGTGGAATGTTTGGTGCAAAATGAGCTATCCGGTGTCTTGCAGACATCTCTGGTGGGGATGGGGAAAACAGATCTGCAGGGAGATTTTTTATTACCTTAATTCTGAGGCATTTTTTCCCAGCACTGACACTGTGACTGTTTCCTACACACCTTCTAACTCTAGAGGAAATGAAATACCATCCCTGGGAAGTGCTGGTAATAAATATATGCATGCAGAAAAATAAGAAAAACCATAGTGCACAGCCTGACAGCTGTCTGATTCCTGCTGTGTTGGAACAGGCAGAGAAGTTCCTGACCCAGCCTTTCACTGAGGAAATGATAACTCTCCCTTTCCAACAATGCAGATTCACTGACTGCTTTCCCAGCCTCAGACTCTGTCAGGGACAAAAATGCATATTTTGTGCATGGGTTTTAGGAGCAAGTTCTGAATTTTTATGCACTGAATGCCCACTGTACCCATTGTGTCAGGCAAACCCTCTTAACTCTTGTGAAAAATCAGAATATATAAAGGCCTCTGTGATAATGAATGAGCTAAGGGCTGTTCAGTTAAAACCAAAGTCAGCAAATTTGAAGTTTTGGTTTTTTCACAATAAGCTGCAGTGTTTTATGTGAATGTTACAGCTAGGACAGAATATGTGAAACAAAACCTCCAAAAATGAAACTGAGATCAATGCTCAGCTATCTTTAGTCCATCTCAGAGCTGAGGTTTAGCTCAAACTGAAAGTTTAACACAGGTCTGTGAGAGGCTCAGTACACTCATTAATTTTCAGAGCAATTGATTTATAAGTTATGAGCACTTTTAGATTGGAGTTACTAGTATGTCAGTCAACACATTGCTTGGAAAAGCCCCTAAGTAAGAATAAATAAATCCAAAGGTGAACATATGATCAGCCATATAAATACAAATGTGTGTATATAGAAATATAAATATACACACATACACACACACTTACATAACTACTGTCCTAAAGTACTATGCAGTATCTTTGAGTAATTAAACCAGATGAGAGGATTCTATATCAATGGTGCACCTGAAGGCAAGGACTTTTTTTAAAATCAGTTATTACTGAGGTGAAATGAAAATTGTTTCATTGCTATATAAGAATTTCATTTATTTATTGGTGTGACCAACTTTGTGTCTTGGTCCCATAAATCATACTTTGGTGTTTACCTCAACATAGCAAATAAGAAAAATATTAAAACCCCTCACCCCCCAACAGTTCAAGGAGTGCTTTACCAGGAGAAACTAGGGCAGGTTAAGAGATGCAAAATATGCTGGTGTGTAATTAAGGAAGTGTAAGCTGCTTTGTAAGAACTGCCTGTTGTGCCTGCTCTTATCACTTGCTAGGTGAAAGCCTGATATTATCTCGTGTGCTGCAAGTTCCCCACCTAAATTACCTTGTGGTATTTGGTTCCTGTAACCTTGCTCTGCAAGAAGTGTCAAAGGCAGGGCTGAGGCTTTGCCTGTCGAGGTTTAACCCCAGTCAGCAGCCAAACCCCTCACAGCCACTCCCTCACTGCCCTGTCAGCAGGATTGGGAAGAGAACTGGAAGGGTAAAAGGGAGAGAACTTTGGAATGAGTTCAGTTGGGAAAGTAAAAGGTGTGCACGCAAGAAAAGCAAAGCAAGGAATGAATTCTGCTTCCCATGGGTGGGTGGGTGTTCAGCCTTCTCTGGGGGACCAGGGCTCCATCACATGTGACAGTGACTTGGGAAGATGAACACCATCGCTCAGAACATCCCCCTTCCTCCAGCAGAGGAGCTGGTTAAATGCTGCTGGTGGAAGGTTAGCTGGAGGGCTGGACCTCTGAAAATGGCCTGATTCCTGTCAGTTTTGAGCTATCCCCTGAACACTCATTTACCTGCTTTCCTCCCTCCCACACCTCAGACGTAGGATGTGCACTTTTCCTCCCCAGATAAGACACAGCCTTGTAAAAGGTTATTTTTACAGAAAAGGAGTGATGCCTGTGCCATGGGGACAAACCTCATAGACAATTCAGAGAAGGCACTGTCATCCCAGACTACCTTGAGCATCACTGTACTTTGAAAGCTCAGAAGCCCCGGGAGAGGAGAAGGTCAAGAGATCACACATGAACAAGACACAAAGCTGTGCGAGTCTCACAGCCAGCTCTGTTCCTCGTGCTTGTGAGGCTGCAGGGTGCCCCCTGCATCACGGGGAAGTGAAGCTCCTCGTACTGACAGCTACTGCTTGTATGCCTGCATGCTCTGTTCCATGCCCGAGGAGTTCTTGCTGCCTGCAGGGCTCTCGGAGGGTGAAGGTGCTTGGAGGAGCAGCTGTGCTTTCTTCACGGAGCAGAGGTGTCACAGGCTGTGGGGTGTGTGCCTGCCAGCTTGGGGACCCTGCTGGGTAATGAACTCTGCAGGCACGCAGTGCTTTTATCTCAGCGTTCGTGAGCAGCAGAATTGGGGTAGAAACAGCAGAATCAGTTGTTATTCCATAAGGTGCTAGCATGGAAATAATCAGCATCAACAGCAGCCGTGTGACACTGACGTCAGACCTCTGTCCTGAGGCTGCCACAGTCCATGGGCACAAGCTGTCCCGTGTGCCAGCACATGGAGCCCTTGTCCTGCTGCCAGGGACGGTGCTGATGAAGTGTTGGAGTCCCCCAGGTCTCACACGCTCTCCTGGGGCTCAGCAGGGCTGTCCTGCTGCCAGTTCATGCAGATTCCTGGGGCATAGCCACGGTGATCCCATGCCATGTTGTGGGGACAGCAGGGACTCCTGTCATCACAGGTGAGCGATGCTAAGAGGTTGGTGGCTCAGGATCAATAAAACCTGAGAAGTTATTATTTAAAACTTCCTGGAAAATCTGTGTATCACATATACCTGTATTCCTGTGATGAGCAGCTGAGAACTCTGTACTTGTCTGCTTCGGAGGGAGGGAGGCTGAGGGGTGACCTCATTGCACTCTGCACTCTCCTTCCTGTGAGGAGGAGACGTGGAGAGGGAAGTGCTCAGCTTTTCTCTCCAGGGTCCAGACAGCAGGCATGGGAAAGATTCAGTGCTGCAGCAGGGAGGTTTATACAGAACATCAGGGAGCATTTTTTGTGGAAATCCTAGAACAGGCTTCCTGGAGAGGCAGTCCTACCCCAGGCTTGGCAGTGCTTGAGGCATTTGGACAGCGCCTTCCACAACGGGCGGTGACTCCGTCAGCCCTGAGTTGCTCAAATGGCTGTTATGGGTCCCTTTCCACTGAAATATTCCGTCTTGTTCCATCCCGTTCCATTCCCTTCCCACCCCATCCCGTCCCGTTCCATCCCGTTCCATTCCCATCCCGTCCCGTTCCATCCCGTCCCATCCCGTCCCGTTCCATCCCGTTCCATTCCCGTCCCGTTCCCTCCGGAGCGGCGCGGGCCGCCCTGCCGCGCCACCTGCTGGCAGGCCCCGTTCACCTCCGCTGTCCTCGAAAGCTGCGGGGCCCGTTCTGGAACACATCTGGAACACATCTGGAACACATCAGGAAACATCCTCAGCGCGCACACAGAACGAGACCGGACTGGCAGCCAGTGTGACATCTCGCTGGGCCTCAAACCACGGCGTCGGGAGTACCTTGGGCTCGGCAGAGCGGAGCCAACTCCGCCTGTCCAGCCTGCGGAACCACCTGGATGCCTGGCGTGAGCTGGAGCAGAAACTGGGAGGTAACTCCTAAAAGAGGTCACAGAGACCACAAGTGACAGGACCCCAGGGAACAACGCAAACCCCGCAGCCAGCCACCGCGCAAGCAGCAGCTCCATGCAGCTATTCCCTGCCGACTGGGGAGCAGGAACGTGGGACAGACAGTTTCCAGCGCTGTTTGCCTGGTACCACGGCTGGAAAGCGGTGCCTGGGGCAGTGCAAGCAGAAGCACAAACAGGAGCGTTGCATCCTCAGGCTGCAGTTCCTGGAGTGCCTGCTCAGAAACCCCCAAGCTGCACAGCCACAGCAATGCAAATAAACTGTTGAGCAGAGCAGGGCAGCCGCTACCCAGACATTTTTGAACACTTCCCTGCTAGCTCTTTTAGTGGGCTCAGCTGGGTTTGCTTTAGGTGAAAACGCTGCCATCTGCTACAATTATGTAATTAACCTTCATAGTTCAAACTTAATGATGCTCATTAAGGTTGAGTGTTTTTATTGGCTAACTGCTGCCACCAGTTTCGTATGGAACTGCAAAGGCAACTCTTAGGAGCCATAGTTTGAAGCATAATTAGCAATATGTGAGTGTTGCACAGGAGCATGGGTGCAGGATGGCAGAGGACCAGGTGGGAGCTTTATTTTATTCTATGCTAAGGCTGGAATGCAGTGAACAGCTGAAGTCTGTTGCTGCTGGGTCACTAATATCAAATAATCATTTACAGTGGTGAGGCAGCAGATCTGGAGTGCATGTGTGTCAACATCACAAGATCCCTTCCATCTAAGGTTGGCTTTGACTTCCATTTCCTCAGCCCTGCATCCTCCAGCTCCCTTCCCAGTACTTCTTCATTTATTCTAACAGTAATTAATGAGTGTGGTTTTTCTGCAGGTCTTTATCAAACAGTTTTAAAAAAAAATGTAGCAAATAAAGATTTTAATTAAAGAAAATGCCCAGGATCAAAAACTATGTAGCTTAATTTGCCTGTGCATATAAGACTTCTAAAAACTAGGCTGTGATGCCATAAAAATTGGTAACTAGTGTACATACCACCTTTAACTACAGCTGATCTTTGACTTTGTCCAAGAGGAATATCTGTAGTTCCCCCCATCATTTCCTGTGGACACTGATGGCTGGACTCAATACCTCGAATACACAGAGAAATAATCTGCATCACAAGGTGTTACAATCTTCCATAACCCAACAATTTATTTAAACTTACATCACAATGAGAATCTAATAATAAAATACATCAGTTCACACCAGTCTGCATTGCCATTTTTAAAGGGTCTTCACTTTATATTAAAATTTTCTGGAGGTAAAAACTACTGCATTGTACCCACAGTTCTTGAAATTGATTGTAACATTAGGCAGGTTACAAAGGAACTTTCAGAGCTAATTACACTTCAGTTAACCACGCATTTTTGGCACATCTGAATGCTTTTTTATTTTCTTCTTAAAATGATTCTATAGCAAGTCAGAGAATCATGGACATAAAGCATCACTCTCCAGTGGCAAGTGCTGCCTAAAAGAATACAAAAATTGCATCATTTGGTTACAAAATAGATATTTTCTTAGTTCTTTATCCTGACATTTAACACTGAAGTGCCACGACAGAAAAGGGCCAGGAACAGGGCCGGCCTTGCTGAGTTGCTGCTGGTCCCTTTGCTGCAAGGCTTGGCTTAAGTAAATCCCAGAGTGATGTGTTAACAAGATGTTGATGGCTTTTGCCTCCCCAGGCCTTTGCTTTCAGAGCACCCTGCAGCAGGTGTGAGGCCACCCGTAAATGTCACCCTGTTTGTCACAGTGCTGCTGCTCAAGTGACAGAGTGAGCACAGCTTTGGACAGGTTCAAGAGGGGCCGTGTTTCTGCAGGCCTTGGCAGTACAGATTAAAAATCTGAGGCTGGTGAGCCACTGCTAGGCTGGGTTTCTTCTGCCTGACACCACTGCAGCTGCTTCTTTAGAAATTCAAATGTTTTTAAGCAGGAATGAAACATTAATGGTAGTAGAGTGCCTGGCACATATTTGTACAAGTGTTTGCAGTCACTCACATGAATTTTTAAAATGTGTGAGTTGTGGTTTAGGTGATTTTTGTCGTACATCACAAACCCCAGCTGCTATGAGCTGCTGATGTTATATTAAAAATAAAAAGCAGTCCACAGTACTTGCAACCAGGGTTAGTTTTTCCCTGGCTTTTGAGCTGTAGTGTACCAATCAGAGTCCGGCACATTAAGTAGTGATTGTTTTATGTGTCACTGATTGCCAGCTCCATGTACCGATATTTATTTTGATGATTTTTTGAGATGCCTGTTAAATTGGCTATGTCCCTTCTGCTCACATTGTTCTGGTCATAACAGAAATATGAATGAACTGCTGCAGTTAAGGAGAGACTGACATAGCAGAAGAACAACAAGCACGTTACAGCTTTCTGGCTGTATTATAGCTAGATGGTCTCTCTGCTTTAGCGGGAAATAAACATTTCTACTTGTCATGGCAGGGTTACATTCTGTGCATTCTTCCAAAGCCCAAGTCAAAGCATTTTCTTGATTCAATCTTCCTACTCATCCTTTGCTGAATCCCTGATCTGAAGGCCTTTTGGTGAGACCAGTAAGTGTTCCCAGAAGGACGTTATGGCTGCTAGGAAGCATCTCTGACTACTGACTACCTTCCTTAGAGACAGATAACTTGAAGAAAGGATCATAATACTTACTCCATGAAGGAAAGGAAAGAGAAAGAAAGAAAGAAAGAAAACAGGATGCTGTATTGGAACTGTAATAGAACAGGTGTTGATGGGGAGGTTTGAAACTGACAGTAAGAGAAAATTCAAGGTATCCATGGTGCTCTTTGCATGTATGTCCTGACCCTGAAAGGCAGCCCTGTCAAAAACCTTTCAAAAATCAATTTTTCCCTCACATCCACAGTGAGAATTCATCCCTGCATTGATTTCCAATTCCTACTCAGCAGTTGCTCTGAACACAGCTCAGGTGGGAGGCAGGAGGGCAGGACACGGAGCGGGCAGAGGAGCTTTGGTGAGCAGGTCAGGCTGCACTGGGCAGGGCTGTGACACCTCTGCTCAGGACAGGTGTCAGCTGAACACCTTCACACGGATTTAGTGCAACTTCTGCTCGCTTGGAAAGCCGTGGGGAGGCAGGCAGCTGCTCAGAGCCAGCAGCCACGGCCCAGCTCACACCCTGGCTCAAGTGACAGTGGCAGTAAAAGCTGATATGTTGCAGGTGCCTTCTGGCACCTGCGGTATTTTCATGCTCTTTACAACCTTTGCAAGTTAAAGTGTCAAGGTGTGATAAACTATGTAGCAGTGCATTCCTTACATTTCATATACAAAAAAGGGCTCAAGACTGGGAGCAAGAAGGCACAAACTTGGGAAATAACATAGCTGAGGAGTTTACACAAAAGTACTATGTCATTTATTAGGCATCACTTAGCACTTATTTCACATTTTTGCCCCCAAATTACCCAAAGCAACATAAATTTCTCCACTTCCTTTCCCTTTGCACCCTTCTTTTGGATAAAGCTGCCTGTGCTCTATAGATACAGTTGCCGCAGAATATAACATGAACACAGATAAATACAACATACACAGCAAAAAATGTATTATAGTATTACAATAGTCAAATAATGTAATTAGCCTCAAGCTACGGCAGTGCCTGTGTGCTCCAGGGAACCAGTTCATGATCAGCAAGCGGGGCCACTGTACAGGAGCAAACCAGCGTCGGCAGTGTTGGGAAGAGAAGGGGCTGAGGAGGCTCTTCGGGTGCCTGGATGCAGTCAGTCATGGGGATCTGCTCACCTGGAACTCCCAGCCAGGGCCTCGGAGCTTTCTTCAGCCCAAATCAGTCTGGCAGTGGGTCCTTGGAACACCTTTACGTCTGTTCATTGTGCATACACATAAAGTCACCCCACATTTCTCCTGTTAGGCTATGTTTTCTTTATATATATAATTTTTTTTTAACCTTTTAGCTTTTGAAATTTTTTTTCTTACAACTGTTAAAAAAGTTTCATGGTAAAAATAGCTCACTATATGATACATATACCCAAAGTGGTGCGATACTTTATATAATAAAAGATGAAAATAGTCACTTTCCATAATAAAAATAAGTTCTATTTTTTGCTTATTTTACAATATACTTAATAATTCTTTTCTTCTTCTTCACTCTGCAAGTAAATAGGTCCCGTTTCGATAACGCTTCTGAGTCGATTAAAGTGGCGAGAGACCGAAGGATGGCTTACAAGCACTTTGAGCAGCCGCACTCCACGTGTCTCTCCAGTTCTTCCGTGAAGGTGGAGCCGTCCACGCACTGGAAGAAGTATTTCCTCCTCTTGCTGCGGAGGGGCACGCAGCACTGCCCGCCGCCGCAGCCGCCGCGGCACTCCAGGCGCGGCACCTTGGAGGCCGTGGCGCACGAGGTGTAGCCCTGCTGCTTACGCACCACTTCTCGAATGATGTCTCCTTGGCAGAGGTTCTCTGCTGGGACAACAGAGGTGGAAAGGAGTCAGAAACGTGGTAACTTGTGGCAGCAGCTCTCTGGCCACAGAGAGGAACACACAACTTTCCCAGGCATTGTCCTGGGGAAGGATGTGAGAAGATCAGAGTGAAGAATGAGAAACAATTCTTATCTTCACTTGCTGCACCTGGTGTTGCGCACATGTGGAATGTGTTATGGAGATTTGTTTACCAAAGGGTGGTTTCCTAACTGGCCCATGGTGATGGTGTTTGGATTGAAGGAACACTTGGGTCCACCTGTGTCCTGACTGTCTGTAAGGGCGATGGGGTTCTTAGTAAGTATAGTATAATAAAGTGATGGAGCAGCCTTCTGAGAATCATGGTGAGAATCATGGAGTCAATGCTGATTATTACCCAGCTGGGGATGCCCAGCTATGACAGTAACTATTTTGCTGGATGTTATAGATGCATATTATAATACTGGCTTTTGCAAATAGTGAAATGGATTTTATATGTGTAGTGTTAAAGTAACTTTGTTATAAAGATATAGTTCTTTTT